ACAAAGAACAACAATAGTTAGGAATATAAATAATTGTATTTATTCTTCTCTTCGGTTGTTAGAAATCTTGTTGCTGAAGATCAGTGCGGCCGTGGAATTTATTATTGTTTATTAAATTATTATTGTGCGGCAGACGCGCGTCACCATGTCTTTTCTCTAGAATTCATTGAAATTGTCGGTGCTTACCCGTTTTATTCCCTTTCTCTTCTATACAGTCTCACTCATGTTTGCCATTGATGAGGAGACCCCTGACCCCCGAACCAGACAGCAAGTGGAAGAGCGGAAGAGAGTTCCCATAAGCCGCCTGGACAAACTGATTTTTGAACTTCATGTCACCGGTGCAGAAGCCGAAGCCCATGTACGGGCCCAATTCGATTTGAGATCAGTACACGCTGCTATTGAATCAGCTGAAACTGACACTGAGATCATGCAAGTTTAGAATGAACTAATCAAGTGTCATCAGACACTTGATAAGTATACCATTGAGCAACTTGCGAAGATGCCAGATCGGAAAGCGGAGAAGAAAGAAGTTGTGTTTGAAGAAGCCATGGATGAAAATATCAGACAATTAGAAGAAGCACTTGAAAGGGAGAAGAGAAGAAAAGAAGAATTAAGAAAGGAAAAAGAAAGAAATGAACAGCAAGAACAAATGATAGAAGAAATTCGACAAATTGTCATTGTAACCGAAGGGGAAGGACAGACAGTTTTTTTGGCTCAGCTTGTGACTTATTTGGCATATCTGGAGATGAAAATTGACCAGTATGGACAACGAATTGATGATGTGGCTGCAAGACTACAGACAATTACCAATCTGGTCAAAGGAAAGAATCAGGTAACAGAAAAAATCAAAGAAGAGAAAGAAGAGAAACCGAAGAAACTGTTGGGAGACGCAATGAAGTCTCTTGAGATAGAGACTTCGAAATCAGACGAGAAGAAAGGGGAGTCTTCAAGCCCGCCGAAGTCTCCCGATGGAAAGAAGGATACCACCACACAACCTGAGAAACCAAAAAGGAAGGACAAAGTCAAAATGAAATTGCCTTTCACGTTCTACAACAAGAAAGATGAAAATTTATTGTTGTGGATTGCTGAGATACAGACGTACTACAGTACAGCTCCTGTCAAACCCGAATCCCAGGTTGCTTTCTCTACCTCTTGTCTCGGGGGGGAAGCTAAGGAATGGGTTTTGGCTGAAGCCCATGCGGCAGGGTTTGATGACATTGGGGAGTGGGCTGGAACATTGAATCTTAAGCAGTTCCTTGGCAAGATCAAGGAACGCTTCCTGGACAAGACGACGCCCGATAAGGTCTTTGACCAACTCATTACCATCAGAAAAAAACATTGGACCTCGGTAAAAGCCTTGTCTCGGGAAGTGGATCGGTTGCTGCAGGTTCCTGGATTGAAACTGCAAGACAACCAAGTCTTGTATATTTATTCTCACGCTCTACTCGAGTCCATTCGTGGACAACTCGTGACAGAATCGAAATCTGGTAAGTACAATTATAGGCAGTTTCGGGACCTTGCTCTCCAATGAGCGCAAATGACTTATCAGGTAAAAAATTTGTATGCGTCTGTCGTGAAGTATGATGGTGGTGCAGATACAGGTAAGCGGATACTTTGGCGCCAAAAGCGTCAGGACCACACCCTCGTCGTCTTTGACGACGATACCGTGGAGAAGTGGCCATTGGAGGTCGAGTGTGTGACAAACAACAGTGATTCCGGGAAGGGGGAAGTCACTTCTGTCGTAGTCAACAAGGGAGGACCACGACCGCCAACAATGAAGAAAACGAAATCACGCTCGTTTCGTGAGCATCCCGGAATTGTGGTTAGGAAGCCATGGGAAAAGATGGTAATGTCACAAGAAACGTGGCAGGAAATAATAGACAATGCACAGTGTCTGAAGTGTGGTACCTTGGGGCATGTGATTGCGTGGTGATCCGTAACTCAAAAGCGAGCCGCTAGTAGGAGTAGCATCTGCTCCTACTGAGTCTCAGGGTTTGGACCAAGATTATGGTAAGGCGCCTACGACCCCTTCCAACCCTTCGACTCACATGATAGAGGATGGTTCATTGGTTCTTCTTCGGCCCATTGTCCGGAACACCCTGAACCTGTCTTATGTACTGTCTCTATGGACGACTCTCTTGACGAGCTTGGTAATGATTTGCTAGCATTACGAAGCTCGTGGGCTAATAAGCTTAAGTCTAAGGGTGACCTACAAGTAGCTACTACTCGCGAACGTAGAGATTGCACGTACACGCGTAGGTGCACTGTTGGACTCGGGATCCATGCAATCCTACATATCCGAGAAAACAATCCGCAAGTTGCATCTCGGAATGAAGGTAAAAAAATTGTCTCGACCAATCACGTCTATACGAGCTGACAAAAGCACGATCACTGTCTTGAAATATGTTGATCGTGTGAAGTGTCGATTCCGTACCAAGGAAGGAAAAAAGATTGTTCACGAGGTTTCCTTTCTTGTGGAGAAGAAGTTACCTTTTTATTTGATTCTAGGGATGAACTTGCACGAGGAAGCCAACCCAAATATCAATTTCAAAGAGAAGATTGTGCAATTGCGTGACGAACAAACTAAATTGAAACCGGTCAGATTGTATCATAAGTCTGGCTCTGATTCTAGTCTCTCTTTTTGTTGTATGAGTCATCCAACATTTCGTTCAATGGTTTCGAAGAGGAAATTGAAACAGGAAGTAATGATGATCTTAGTAAAGAAAGTAGGATAATGCTATACTTTCTTCCCTCCTTCGATTCAGAAACTCTTGGATGAGTATAAAGATCAACAAATCGAACCAAGAGGAATAACTCCGCGTGCTATAAAGCACACCATTGAAATTATTACTGGCAGTAAGATTCCCAAGGGTCCTATCTACAAAATGTCTCATAGGGAACTTGAGGACTTAGAAAACAACTACAGGACATAACAGAGAAATAATGGATTCGCCGTAGCTCTTTTCTTTATGGTGCCCCTGTCCTATTTGTGCCCAAAAAGGAAGGTGAGTTGCGTCTCTGTATTGATTATAGAGGGTTGAATGTCGTCACTGTTAAGAACGTCGAACCTCTTCCACGAATTGACGACTTGTTCGACCAGTTGCAGGGCTGCAAGTTCTTCAGTAAAATTAATATGAAGTTTGGATACCACCAAATCGAGGTGAATCCTGCAGATCAACACAAGACTGCATTCCGAACAAGGTATGGTCACAAGGAGTTTGTGGTAATGCCTTGCGGATAAACTAATGCCCTAGCAACCTTCCAAAGAACTATGAATGAAGTCTATCGTCAATGGTTGGATCAGTTCCTTATTGTCTATCTCGATGACATTCTATTGTAAAGTAAGACACAAGAAGATCACGAGAAACACCTACGTCTAGAGTTACCAAAGTTGCATGAGGACAACGTCAAGCTAAATCCAAAGAAGTCTAAATTTGCTAAGTCCGAAGTCTTATACTTAGGACATATAGTAAATGAAGATGGCCTAAGGCCAGAAGAAAAGAAAATATCAACAATTAGAGATTGACCACGACCTAAGTCGATAACGGAACTAAAATTTTTCCTTCGTTTGGCAAGTTATTATAGGAAGTTTGTTAGGAACTTCTCACTGATTGCCACACCAATGAGAAGATGATTTAAAAATGAAAGTGTTTGGTTGTGGGATAAAGAATGTGAGTTTTCGTTCAAAAAGTTAAAATATGCATTGACTCACTACCAAGTTCTGAAAATTGTATACCCGTCTCTACCCTTCATTGTCACTACTGATGCAAGCCAACATGGGATTGACGTTTTTCTTCAGCAGGATGACGGCAAGGGCTACAGACCCATAGAGTTTATGTCCGCACGACTGTCGTCGGCAAAGGATGTCAACTCCACCTATGAAAGGGAGTCTTATGCCTTAGTCTGTGCACTAAACACGTGGAAACACTACTTATTACGGAGACACTTTACTGTGTAATCAGACCACTCTACTTTGCAGTGGATAAAGACACATCCTAGACTCTCTAATAAGCCGGTACGATGGTCTGCATTTATTGATACCTTCGATTTTGAATCGAAAACAATCAAAGATAAGTCTAATGTGGTTGCAGATGCATTGTCCAAACGGAGTGATTTCTTTGGTGCAATTGTCTCTTATCTGGATGTTGGGAGTGATTTGAAAGATAGAATTCGGCAAGGATATGCTACTGACCCTATTTGGAGGCCTATCATTGATGTCTTTGCAAAGGACTCGACTCTACTTCCCAACTACCGTGTAACCGATGATTTGTTTTTCTTGTTCGACCAGACTGAACAGAGATTTTGCATTCCTCACAAAGAAGAGATTGAAAGTCTATTAATTGGGGAATGTCACAATTTTTAGGGTCATTTTGGATTCAAGAAAACTTATGCAGAGGTTAGGGAGCGCTTTGAATGGAAGGGATTAAAGGAAGACGTACTAACTTACGTGTATACCTGTCTGGTGTGTCAGAGAAACAAACCTTCACATGAAAATTCACTTGGTCTCCTGAAACCATTACCAATTCCGAGTGAACCAAGTGAGTCCATCTTAGTTGATTTCATGAGCCTCACCAAGAGTCGTAATAAGAATAGTCAAGTAATGGTTGTTGTGGATCGTTTCTTTAAATATGCCATGTTTATTCCCTTACCTACTGAAGCAAGAATTGAACTTGTGATCCAAAAGTTTCAAATGTGATGGGTGACTGAATATGGGTTTCCGGGTTTCCCCTCTCCATTGTGTCTGATTGTGATGCAAGGTTCACAAGTATGTCATGACAAAAACAGATAGAAGCATACGGTACACGTTTGACCATGTCGTAAGGACAACATCCTCAAACGAATGGACAAAGTGAGCAGATGGACCGATTGTGCCAACAACTCTTGCGCATGTATGTGAGACCCGATCAGATTGATTGGGATATAAACTTATCCAAAATAGCCAGTGCATATAACAACAGTGTTCGCATCGCTAGCCTTGAGTGGTCCGGCGTCCATCAGTCGCCAAGATCTTCTTCTCACCACGGAGAGATGCACGCTGTTTTCGTCTCCTTCACGAGCGGGACTTCATGAGTGTCGTCGTCGATCATCGCTCTCGCCCTTCGTCGTTCTCCTTCTCGCCGCGGATCCTTCTCGCCGCGGATACGTTTCGCCCCTTCGAAGGTCCGCCGTCGCTTCGCGAAGATCTTTATCTCGCTGCGGAGAAGTGTCCGAAAGAAAACATGTTTACGCACGGCGGCGCCCGTGGGAAGAAGAGGGAAAACATCCACGCGGACACTCAGGGGCGTGAAAGGGGTCAGCGGCATGTGCCAAAGGCGAAGAGGCTCCGTTCAGAAGAAGTGTCAGCTAGCCTGCCTCATCGCCGAGGGCGAAGCTGGACGGCAGCCAACGAGGAGGAAGATGACGACGTGTTCACGACGGAGGAGAAAGCAGCAGAGGAGAACGTGGCGGCGCCTCGGGGAAACACTCTTCAACGGTCGGGTGATCTGAGCGGTGCGAGAAGATTGGTGACGCCCCCTCCGGAGGCGCAAGAAGTGCGTGCGCACAACACCCAGAAGGCGAAGGAGGTAGTTGTCGATGTCGGCGGCGAGGACGACGAGCCGTTGGAGAGCCGTAGACAGCACAATGTCACACAAGGTGCCATGGCGACGGCCGTCAAGATACGCGCCGCGCATGAAGAAAGGCCACCTCAGGGTGGCCTGCCCTTGATGTCGTCCCAGCCGCGCCCGCTCAACACGGCTGCAGAGGGGGGCTCCATGGAACTCGTGGGAGGGGAAGGGGCCCAGCAAGAAACGCGCGTGGCGGGTGGGGTTGCCATCGCTGCAGCAGCCGCGGGGTCTTCGGGGAATGTTGGTGTCGTGGCAAGGGCGAGAGAAGAGGTCCCAGTTATGGAGCGGGAGGTGGCGCGTGTGGACAACAACGTGGAAAGGGAGAATGAAGACCCCCTTCTAAGCCGGGTTCGGAGGGGAGGAATGGCGAGAGATCTGGCCGACCGTGCCCGCCTGTGGGTCGATGACAAAGCGTTTTGGACGACGGGGGAGGGGCGAAGGCTGTACAACATCGTCCACGAATCGAGGGAGTACTTTGTCGCCATCGCCAGCGGAGTGCAAATGCCCCGCGTGCCCAGGAGCGTCGTCATGCCGAAATCGTCGACGACCCTCACAAGGATTGCGGATCCCGCACAACTGTAGCAGGCGATCGCCCGCGCAACGGCAGCGGAGAATATCGCTCCGCGCGTCTTGCATGGATGGGTCTTCAAGTTCGGGAACCGCCCCCGAGGATTCAATGTCGCTTTCCAGTACGCGTTGGAGTCGGTGGCAACGGACATTGCGCGCGTCATGTGGAACGGCGAGGAGTGGAGTGACGTCGTTAGCGCGCCCGTTTGCGCGCACACAATCGACCTGAACATGGACTTGCCATTGTGGTTTGCGGGCACGAAAATCGAAGACAGGCCGGAGGACGACGACATGGCGGCGCACCAGGAGTCTACCGTCGTATGCATCGCGTATGCGTTTCGCGCCGCGATGCAAATGGATGGCATCGTCGACAGCGGATTCATCTCGCACGAGCGTCTGTGTAGAATTGCGGATTGCTTCAGATTGTTGTTGGCTGCTTGCATGTGGTTGATGCGCATGGCGGGAGACGATGCGCACAGCCATTACGAAGCCTTTTACTTCGCAAAACTGGTCGCGAAGCCCACGCTCGTCGCGTCCATGCATTGCGCTTTCGATCATCGGCGGTCCATCATCCGAGCCACGAACGCCGTCACGGAGAGACTGGGGAAGGCGAACGCAACACTCGGAGAGTGCCCGAAGTACAGCCCCGACTGGGCTTCCTGCGGCATCGTCTTTGGGCAAGACGCGAGCATAACGGGGCCAGAGGACACGAAGAGGAGGGATTGGTTGGGTTCCGGCCCCTTAGAGGACGACGACGACGACGATGGAAAGGAGGACGCGTAGGGTGGGCGGTTGGGAGGGAGAGGTTGTCGCCGGTGCTTACACGTGCATCGGGGGAGAGGGTGCACGAACGGGTCTCTTTTTCCGGCGAGGGTAAGGGAAGCGAAGAGGGGGCATGTCGACACGGCGTCGAAGACGAAGTTCTGGTGGCGCCACGTAGCGATGACGGATTGCTGATGGCCTCCTCCTTCGTTCCGCATGTAAATGCAGACGCCCGACTTTTTTGGTTGTGCACTTCGGTTGGGTGCGTGATGCAAACGACTCCGTCGTTACTTGTGGACTTCGATGTTGTTTCGCTGTCAATGGTGGAGAAGCGATGGTAGTGGGGGTTCCCTTCGGTAGATTGTAGGTGTTGTGTACCTTAGTTCGATGTTCTGTTGTGTTGTTGCTGGCGCCGCTTGTGGCGAGACAAGTAGATTGCGCTAGGTGCGCACCTTTATTTTGTTTGTATTATTTGAATACAAAACGACATTTCGTCAGTTTTAAGATCTACAGTCGCTTTGTTTGGTTACTATTTCGTTTTCGAATTGTTTCAAATCAGATGGGGAGTTCGTCGGTTTCAAGATCTGCAACTTGTGTGTTTTTTGGATGCACAGTCAGACGTCTCTTCTCTATTTGCATGTGCCATCGTCGCTCATTGCTTTGTTTGTTTTGTATGTCTTATACTCCTCCCCCTCGTGCTCCGATTCACTAACAAAACATGTGTTCGTGTGCCAGTCCAACACTCGCATGAAGATGAAGCGCAGCGATTCAAACTACATGAAATGTCCCTGAAAACATGGTGTGAATATGCAATGGCACACAACATTAACGCAAAGAAATAACAACACACAATATAGACGCAATGAGATACACAGACACACATACACACCGCCAACACGCAATGGAAATAGACGATACATACTTAGAAATGGATTTGCGATGTCGTTAAACAATTCACAGTTAAAAGTTCAAAATCGAAGGGAGGTGGGGGAGAATTTCCACGCCCATCCGAATGACGAACACTACTCCAACCTACGTGGCGAAAAGTCGCTGCACTTCACACCCACCGTGCGCCGAGTCCGCACTGCACACCTCCAACGACAACAACAGAATAAAAAAACACGAAATTAAAAGGACGGTGACGCACGTCCGCGAATCGCGACGGCAAACCAAGACGACCCTCGACGCATTGCCTGAGGAACCCGACGCAGGACAAAACCTAGCAACCCAATCAAGGCTGGACGGAACAACTGATCTGCCCTCCGGCCATTGCAGTGAACTCGCCCCCACGCGCAGCCGTCCAGCAAGGGGAACACGACCCTCCACGCAAACCCCCAACCCAGACGGGGTACAGACGACAACGACCCAATTAAGGCAGGACGGAATCTGCCCTCCGCCCATTGCTGCAATGAAATCACTTCCACGCGCTGCCGTCCACAAATGAAACACGACTCACTCGTGTTTCAATCTTTCCGCCAAAGCATCCCTCAGCACCAACGCTTCGTCTGTCGACGTCAACATCGAAACAGGCTGGAGGGGCTGTTCGATCCCCAGGTCCACACGTCGTCGCACACCATTGGCGTCGACCTCCTACAACAGATTCTCGTCGAAGGGTATTCCTACGTCGATCAGCATGTTGTGCAGTATGCATACGGCGGTGAACTGCTGCGGGAGCCTGTCCAAATTTGTCTTGTGTGTCTGCAAAAACAGCCGCCACATGCCCTTCAGCCTGCCGAACGCCCTCTCCACTCCTCCCCTCGCCACCTTCTGGTTGTTGTCGAACCGTTCCTCGTCGACGTGCTGATTGATGCCTCCATACGGAACGACCATGCATTCGGAAGGGGGGTACCCATTGTCCGCCAGAATGTACCCGTTCGTCTTCACACCGAACGGCAGTGTCACGGGGGGACCACAGAACAACGACCCCTCCTCTGCGCACACCAACAGGCTGGACAACTGCAGCACTCTGATGTCGTGGCAGCTACCTGGGTATCCCATGTGCACGTGGAGCACACGCAAGTCGAGGTCGACGACAACCTGCGCGACGATGGAGAAACGACGCTTCCTATCGTAGTAGTTTTCGCTAGGAGCGTTCGCCGGCTTGTCTACGTACACGTGAGTGCAATCAATGCAGCCGTGGCAGTTGGGGAACCCTTTATCAGCAAACACCCGCAGAACGACGAGTTTACAAAGTCCCGTCAGCCACGCAATCTTATCTCCGAACACTCTTAGCAGCGCGGCAGTAACGTCGCGGACGGCAATCAACCCAGAAGCTCGGCCAGTCCCGAAGTTGCACGTGCTGCTCTCGTACGTCTCTCCTGAAGCCTACCTGTACAGCGCATACGCCAAAATCTGGTCCGGCTGCAAAGGTTCCCCGTAGAACGTGACCCGCTGCTGTATGAGGCGCACACGCCTCCGCGTTTCCTTGAACACTCGCGGCGACATGAGAAGCTTATCCCGGAAGTAGTCGTTTGTCGCGTCGTCGCATTGGCTGAGGTCTTCCCACATGCCTCCTGTCCTGCGCTTCACCCACCACCGCGGCGTCGCACGTGGTATCACTCCGCAACCCAACGCGTAGCACAGCTGAACAACAGCCTCCGACATCGCCACGTAATCGGCCCCATCGAACGGATCTTGCGTCAATTTCCTCCGTCTACGCGCGCACAACTGGTCCTTCAGCCGCCCCAGCGCCCTCTCCTGCTGACATCGAAGAACGATCGTCGACACGGCCGTCGCCACTGCCTGCAGCTCACCATGACTCAACGGATCATGTTTACCCTCTGCGCCGCCCTCCATAGTCGCGACGTCGAAACGATCTCGTCGTTCCGCTGCCGGCTGTGTCGTACTTCCGCACGCGTCGAAAGGCGGCCCCTTTTCTATGTCGACAGGCCCGCAGACGGCAAAGAGGAGCAACACGCAGTCAACGTGTGTAAACGTCCACGGCGATGGAAGCACCAAACGCTGTCCGCGGAGTCGCAACGGTCTGGGAACGGAACCTCCGCCGCCGCTCACCCACTTTCCGCAGCACGCCAACCTCGCGCCGCCAGGCACACGTCGTCGTCGTCGACACAGCGTTCGTTCGAATTTTGAATTTCAAATGCCCACGCCCTTCGGGTTTTAATTAATTTCTTTCCGCGTCGCCCGACGTCTGCCGTTTCCCACCTCGCATCGCTGGACCATGGCGTCTCCACACTGACAAAAGAGACTGGACCAAGGACGTCCGACCCCGCGGCCGCTAATTTACATATGAAACTGGCCGCGGGGAAGCCACAAGGAAACATCCTCGGGGGACGTCCCCAAGGATGAGTGGAACGACGCCGCAAATTCCCCTAAAAAGCCACAAGGACGTTTCCTTGTGGCTCAAGGAAACCGTAAGGAGTGTCTAACGAGGCCCTATTTAGGGAAAACCACTTCCACTAATCTGCACCTGCTCACAAGGAGACCCCACTGCCCACCATAATGGTGTTTCTACAGAGCGGCACTCTCTCTTTCATTCCATCGCATGCAAAACGCTACACAAGAGTCGCAATTAATTACGACAACTGTTACCCAAACGGCGAAAAAGAACTCAGATAACTACAGAAACCAAATCCTATCACAAAACGATGGAAACCAAGGCCACGATTGCTCGACTCGAATATGTAACCAATGCAGATGCCGAATGGCATCAGTTTTTCCTTAATACCATTCAATGGGCCTAGCTGCACTGCTCATGGAAGGGAGAATGTGCAAAATGAGAATGAATCTGCCGCTAGAATCTGGAAAGATACACCACCATATTTTTCGTCTTTTGTGCATGTGGTGAGTAGTGGAGAGAGGGGCACAATAACGGCCATTTTGTCAAAATGGACATCTTTTATTTTTTGAACGAAATTGAAAATGAGTTTTTTGGCCGAAAAGTTGGCGAAAACTCGTCAAAATTTGTTGTTCTTGATGGTCCGGTGTTTGTAAAACGCTGGACCCCCTGGTTGTACATGGACCTAGCTGGAGACCAGGTACATCCAAGCAGTCCTACCTAGATGTACCTGGTCTCAAGCTAGGTCCATGTACAGCCAGGGGGTCCAGCGTCTTACAAATGCCGGACCCTCAGGAACAGCAAATTTTGATGATTTTTTGGCCAAAAAACTCGGTTTCAATTTCGTTCAAAAAATAAAAAATGTCCATTTTGATTGAAATGGTCGTTCAATGTCTACTGTAACCATGGAGGCCAGACGGTCTAATGTCGTAGTCAGCAAATAAATATAAAAATGTAAAAAAATGATGTCGTAGTCAAGGGACAGGAAAACAATATTATAATTATAATTTTGGCCTGTTTACCGGCACGCCTCCGCCTACCTTCTTCCCCCGAATACAATGTACGGTCATTTTAACTCTATTTTGGGTACCTTATACGGTTATTGTGATGATATGTTGTAGTAGGGGGTAGAAGGTAGTTGGTACACCCATCAACAGATGACATACGGACCTGAGTTCAAATCGCCCCCCCCCCCCTGAAAAAAAAAAACAAAAGGGAAACTATGCCGGAGTCACAAAAATGAGTTATAATTGCAGTATGGGCCAAGATTCAGTTTGCAATTGCAGTTCAGGGCCTCAGGCAATCTATACAACCCGGCTTTCTGGCCAGGTAGGGTGGCCAAGAGCAATTGCAAACTGTACATTGGCCCATGGTGCAAAAAAAGACATTTTGAAGGGTGCCCTCACCTGCACCGGACATTAGGCTTATAATTTTGACAACTATGATTTAAAATTTTGAGTTCAGTTAATGATAATAATTATTAAGAATATGAAATTATGGAGTATTTGTTTGTTCATCCTTCCACTGCAGCCAGTTTCACTGTGGCCATGTCATGATTCACGCCCTTCCACAGCCGCTCATCCATAGCCATGTGATCAGGATTGCTCCCAAAGTTTGGGAGTCTTGAGGTTTAAAAAAAAAAAAAAAAAAAA